AGTAGAGACTGATTCTATAGCTAAGTCTGCAGCTTCTGGAATGAGTGATGGGGGAGTGACCCTGGCTTTCAAAGCTGCAGGACGTTGGACCAGAACTGCTGGAAGCCACACACCCCGGATGGAATCTTCTGGGACCCCTGATGGGTGGAAACTCTATGTGTATCCATCTCCCCTCCCTTCCGAAACCCAGGTAGCTTCTAAGGGATGCTGCCGTTTGCCTTGAGAAAACTGAACTCTAGTCCGAGAGAGAGAGAGAGAGATTCTTTATTTGGGAAGGGAAAATTAGACCTTGTGTTACAGGGAAGAACAAATCTGACTCCATATTGGATCTGTTTCCTTTGCTTTAACCTCTGTATTCTATTGCTTTTGCTATGAAATGATGCCTGTAAGCTTAAATTATACATCATGCTTCACCTCTGGGAACCCCGCCTCCCAGGTAATGAGTGTTAAACTAAATTACGTTTGTTTAGCTCACAGGAAACGTCCTGACCAGGCCCACCTGGGAACGGCTGCAGGAAGGAGGAAAGGAACACCTCCCCTTCGGGGGCTGATCAGAACCGGGGAGTGTCTGACTTTATCCCCCCCCCTCGCCCCGTCTTAGAATAAAAGAAGCCTGAATTCTAACTCAGGGAAGATGGTTCTTTGGGACGCTAGGTCACCATCTTCTGGATCTGTGGGGCTTTCCGAAGAAAGTCGATATTCCTTACCCCCACCGCTCATCCCTGGATTTACTGGCCTGTTGGGTGGTGAGCAGTGCGAGCTTGGACTCAGTAACAGCCGCCCCCCCACCCTCCTCCGGCCACTCCTGGAAGATAAAAACGTTTGTAAGGACTGAGGCTTGGACAGGGGCTGGATGATTTTTTGCTACATCTGTCCAGTGTGACCAGCCCGCAGACCAAGTGGCGTGCCAGGGGTGCAGAGTCTGGGTTCCCAGGATTTGGCTGAAGTGCTGAAAACCGCTTTCATATTTTTCACACGGAAAACTACAGAATTAAGTACATTTTTCATTGCCACGCAGTGCGCGTGCGCGCTCACAGACAGACACACACACACACACACACACACAC